AGAAAGTTTCAAGCATTTTCATTTTTTGGCCAAAATTGAAAAAAATGTAAGGGGTTAGCCTTACATTTTTACCCAAATTTGGCCAAAAATTGACTTTTTTCCAAACAATGCAGAAATTCCTTTCGAGGTAAGAGGAGCATCAATCAACATTCAAACACCTAATATTTGAAGATTTTGGCAAAAATCATCAAGTTTTGGTTAAAAACAATTAACATTTTTGACTGATTTACCCCCAAATATTCGTCGAAATTACAATTTCAAAAGCACATCTGTCCAGAAATCGAATTGGAATGTGTTCTAGGATCCCTTAGCCATCTTCCAGAAAGTTTCAAGCATTTTCATCATTTGGCCAAAACTGATAAAAATGTAAGGGGTTAGCCTTACATTTTTACCCAAATTTGGCCAAAAATTTACTTTTTTCCAAACAATGCAGAAATTCCTTTCGAGGTAAGAGGAGCATCAATCAACATTCAAACACCTAATATTTGAAGATTTTGGCAAAAATCATCAAGTTTTGGTTAAAAAACAATTAACATTTTTGACTGATTTACCCCCAAATATTCGTCGAAATTACAATTTCAAAAGCACATCTGTTCAGAAATCGAATTGGAATGTGTTCTAGGATCCCTTAGCCATCTTTCCAGCAAGTTTCAAGCATTTGCATTATTTGGCCAAAACTGATAAAAATGTAAGGGGTTAGCCTTACATTTTTACCCAAATTTGACCAAATATTGACTTTTCTCCAAATAACGCAGAAATTCCTTTGGAGGTAAGAGGAGCATCAATCAACTTTCAAACACCCAATATTTGAAAATTTTGGCAAAAATCTTCGAGTTTTGGAGAAAAACAATTAACATTTCTTACTGATTTGCCCCCAAATATTCGTCGAAATTACCATTTCAAAAGCACATCTGTTCAGAAATCGAATTGGAATGTGTTCTAGGATCCCTTAGCCATCTTTCCAGCAAGTTTCAAGCATTTGCATTTTTTGGCCAAAATTGAAAAAAATGTAAGGGTTAGCCTTACATTTTTACCCAAATTTGACCAAAAATTGACTTTGCTCCAAACAATGCAGAATTCCTTTGGAGGTAAGAGGAGCATCAATCAACATTCAAACATCAAATATTTGAAGATTTTGGCAAAAATCATCGAGTTTTCGAGAAAAACAATTAACATTTTTTGACTGATTTACCCCCAAATATTCGTCGAAATTACATTTTCAAAAGCACATCTGTCCAGAAATCGAATTGGAATGTGTTCTAGGATCCCTTAGGCATCTTTGCAGCAAATTTGAATCAAAAATTAATTGTTTGACCAAAATTGAAGAAAAAATGTAGTTAAAAAGGTAAGTGTCTTGCCCAAGGGCACAAACACCATGTTCCTCGCAGTCAAAACACAGTAACCACTGAGCCATGGACTCCTAGGCCTCGACACAAAATTGAAATCAAACATTGAATGCAAAAAAAATAAATCAGCATTCATTGAATCATGTATAAAGCTGTCAGATTTCTTTTTGAAGACAGATTCCTACACACAAACAACTGAAACAATTTGTTTAGCAACCTGATTTTTTTAGTTTTCTTTAATGCTTCAAAACACTAGCAGCATTCACTCCAACACATTTATATACACTCGTTTTATATACATTTTTTATATAAAAAAGTAAAAGAAAACCAACTTATCTTAATACTTGGCAATTTCAGGGAAATTTGTTAATTCTTTAAGAATGTTTAGGGTAATACATGACACCAATTATTACACGCCTAAAAAAATAATAAAGTGCAGCCATCTTTGTCAAATGCCCTATGACCTGACACACAATCACTATGGAGTTCAGCCATTACATCCCAGGTACCAGCCTCTTGCACAGTCGACTACACTCACTTACAAAATATAAATTCACTATAAATATACAAGGTCAACGTGAGATATCCCTGCATTTACCATTGATACAAATGTATCTGATAAATACTTGGCTCAAAACCACTTCTACACTTTTAACTTCCAAGGCACTTCATGCTTGCACAGCTCTACAAATACCAAGTAAACTATACAAAGAAATATAGCCCGTGTTGGATTCGAACCTGTGACCCTCCAAAACACCATACCAGCGCTCTACCAACTGAGCCATGTTAACCCTAGCATAAATTACCAGGAACTATACCTATACCTATCCTGGCAAAAAAAACCCCACCATATGGGAAATCAAACACATTTCTGACTTTGATTCTGGAGGTGTGCCAACCCAATGTAAAAGACTGTCAGTTTAGGGGTACTGTACCCATCCCGACAGGTTCCAACAATGGATTGGGGGAGGTTAGGGTTAAGGCTGTGTCATATTTAACGAATATTTGAATATTCCATCATTCAACAAATATCTGAATAGCATTTTTTCACGATTCAAATATGTAAGGCGTTCTGGCAAACTGAGGCAGACCTGGGCAGAGGCTAGAACGAGGGTTTGTTGGTATTAGGAACGAGAATAAAATCCTCCATAAAATACTGTTTATTGCACTTCAATCAGACATTCCGTTGACAAGTTATGGCTGTTTATAAAATTTGCATTCATCGACATGTCAAAAAAGTAAAATACTGAGACAATGGCCTTGAAATTTTGAGTTTTGTACTTGTGAAAATGAAAGATACCAACTGTTTTTCCGTATAAACACTTTTATTCCAAGGTTTTTATACTATTTCTTTAAAAATGTGTAGTAGACATATCCAAGATTAAAAACATCAATAAATCTGAAAATCAGAATTTTTTTTTACCCCCTTTCGTTTTTTTTGTTTTTGTGTGTGCATTTTTCACCACTACAGCCCATGCCCAGTTCCATCTCATTTTGCCAGAACAACTCACACATTTGAAAAATACGGTAGGTTGTCTGGTTTTATTGTTTGTCAAACGCCACACTTTTGTCAAAATCCTCTTTAAATGCATGCTTTGAGAGCTTTAAATTCAGTGAGGAATATTAGCTCAAATTATACTTCCTTCAAATTTGTTAAGTATCAGCCAATTCACTACATTGCACCTCCAAAAATATATATCAATGCATGCATGTTCTTTGTATTCAATTAATTCTTTTGTCAACTTTGGAAAATTACAGGCACATGCAAAATCTTGACCAGTTCAGGCTGCTGACGCATGTCGAATATTTCAATATTCGATTTTCGTCCAATAACATAATCAAGTACTAAATCATTCAAAAATGCCGCGCATCACTATGTTGGCCGACATAAGGGTGGATATGTAGCTCGGTTAGTAGAGCACCAATATTGCACTTCAGTGGTAGCTGGTTCCATTCCTGCTCTTGCCATTGTTTTTCTTCACTCTTTTAACGATACAAATTAAGTTGAACAGTTGAAAGACATGTTTTTGCATTACAGTTCACAAATACATTGTATTGCCAAAGTTTGTTTTTCAGCCCATATCCAACACAGCATTTTTTTACAAGAAAGTATAAACCAAATCAACGTTCCGTTTTTTATATTCCTGTATCTACTGACAATATAAAAAGATTATTTACTATTTGAATTTCAAAACTTAGACAATTATTGCTGTAACTAAAGCCAGTCAACAGGGTGTGTTTGTTACCAGTCCAAGATGTAAATTTGGGAAATAGTTTAATATTTAGTAATAATACTAATAATTTGGGAGGCTAATCATCCTTACTCGCAGCTGAGAAGCTGAATTGCGAAGGATGCAGCTACAACGTGGTCTAGCCGCAGGCATGTAAAGGTGCCTTAGGCAGCCGCCATACATACGACCCATGTCTGACCACGGAGCACAGCCAGCTCTAAAGTGTTTGATTTTAGCGGCGGGAGGGAAATCACAGAGCCCGGAGAAAACCCTCATGGTGCAGTAGAGAATCAACCAACAACTCTACTCACATATAGTCGAGTCGGGAATCGAACCCAGGCCACAGTGATGAGAGGCAAGTGCTTTACGCACTAGCCACCCATGTTTTGTTTTCTCAGATTCACTGATTGCACAAAAAGGTAAATAAATTGCTTGTAAGGACGGCAAAAATTTTTCAATAAATATCTTTCTTTTTTCAAAACAACTGTGGGATGATAAATGTAAACAATAAGTTATTTTTTGAGACAAGCCTTAAGTTCGCTCCTCAGGAAAAGGCAAATCACACAAAACAAACTTTATACAAATCGGCCCATGCCTATTTACACAATGATGGTAAGCACCAAAATAAAACAAATAAAAATAATATTTTTAATGACAGAAATAAAATAAGTATTCAAGCATGTACATACAGCAAATGAGTTTTAAAAGCTGCAGTGTTTTGCAGAATTGAAGTATTTTGTAACTGTCAGGGCTTTAACCTGCTAAAAGGATGTGCCAAAATAAAGCGCCGCAACTTTACAATTAAAATAATATCAGAGATGTGTACAGGATTATTTTTACATTTGAACCAGTAAAAAGCTATTCGAATATTCCGTCGATGACCAAATATTCAAATATTCAAGACAGCCCTATTTTTCGGTACATAAAATTCAATCTGACAACAAATCTTAATTTGTTTTTTAACAAGGCAAGTGAGATTCTAGAGCATAAAAGTGTAGAGGCTAAAACCCAACCCCCGCCCCCCCCCAAAAAAAAAAATAATATACATGTATCATGTATGGGGAACTTACTTTGAGAGCATTTATCAAATTTCTGAAGTTAAAAAATAGGGACATTAAAAGGAACTTTAAAAATTTTGCAAAATTTCACATTTACATCTTAGAGTACAGAATTAACTACCTATATTGCAAGTTAAATGTACGCAAGGAATTCATTTTTTTTGTAACGGTGTATGATGCCATTTTGTCTCCAGTGGGTGCAGTTAGTCCCACATTCATAGGCTTACCTGATGCAACGAATCAACTTTTTGTAAGGTCTGTCCAATGTTTTGTCTAGACCTCTGAGAATCGGTGTGCAATTCGGTGTCCCTTGGACTGCTTCATGTCCTTAAATGCGTGTTGTTTGATGACGGCAGTTTTTTTTTTCCTTCTCTTCGATGATTTCCTCGGCCATACTCACACGCGCCGAAACAAACAGAACGCTAAGACGATCCCAATAAGCTGCAATAAAAATAAAAAAATTCACAACGTTTATCACGACACACACAGCTAATTTTTTCACAGATATCTAAACATTTCTGTGACTTGTCAAAGGTGACAAAAATGCCATAACCTTCACCCATTTCAGACTAGCGTTCTACAGTCAGGGCCTGATTAAGTGTTCTGTAGGCCCTAGGCACCAGTGTTCCGCAGGCCCTACTCCTGCCCTTGTGACAGCACCTGTTTCCTGGCGCTGGTAGCTCTAAAAGCCTGTTGGCACCGTGCTTCAGAACGACAAACTTTACACAGAAATCCTATGTATGTAAAGGTATGCGCAGCTCTGAAAATGAAGAATTCACATAGGGATGCATGTGAATTGTTTTCGTTTTGCTGAAAGAACACTTACCTTTGTTTGTGATCCGTGGACAGAAGTTTAAAACGGTGGTTGTGTTCAAAATTCCGTAACTTGAAAAGTACATGAGTGATTGGAATGATTCTTGTACTAAAAGAAAGCTTATGAATTGAGCTTTCATAACTGTCGTCATCAACAACACACAGTGTGGAGTGCTGTGGCCTTGTGGTTAAGGGCACTGGATTCGTGGTCTGTGGGTAAAGCTGCAGGTTGTGGGTTCAAGTCCAGCCGGGGTCATGATGCGTGTGCCCTTGGGCAAGGCACTTTGTCACTCATTGCTTCTCTCCACCCAGGAGTAAATGGGTACCTGTGAGGGCAGAGATGGTTATTGTGATTGAATTAGCTTGTGCCTAGCAGACAGCATCGAGCTGTATACTCCCCAGGGAGCTGAGATGGTATTTGGAATATTTAATTGGCCCAATGATCAGGGGTAATAATAATACTGTAAGCGCTGTGATTTAGTTTACTAATAAGAGCGTTCTTAAATGCCGATTATTATTATATCCTACATTATTAGGGTGCTACATGCAGAACTTCATTACAACAATGATCCTGACATTCGGTCTTTTTTTTGTTTAACTCGCCCTGTATTTCAAAATCTATGGCCATGTCCAAATTACATGTGGCTATGGCTACATAGATATGGCTACATAATTACACACGCGCCTATGCAAGCGGCTGCAGCCACTTCCCATAGACATGTGTGTTATTGCTAGCCGTAGCCATGTCATTTGAATCTAGCCTTAGACTGTAAGGTCATGTCCAATTACTGGGCTATGGCTTGCAATCACACAGGGGCTATGCAAGCGGCTGCAGCCACTTCCCATAGACATGTGTGTTATTGCTAGCCGTAGCCATGTCATTTGAATCTAGCCTTAGACTGTAAGGTCATGTCCAATTACTGGGCTATGGCTTGCAATCACACAGGGGCTATGGAAGCGGCTGCAGCCACTTCCCATAGACACGTGTGTTATTGCTAGCCGTAGCCATGTCATTTGAATCTAGCCTTAGACTGTAAGGTCATGTCCAATTACTGGCCTATGGCTTGCAATCACACACGTCTATGGAGGCGGCTGCAGCCACTTCCCATAGACACATGTGTTATTGCTAGCCGTAGCCATGTCATTTGAATCTAGCCTTAGACTGTAAGGTCATGTCCAATTACTGGGCTATGGCTTGCAATCACACACGTCTATGGAGGCGGCTGCAGCCACTTCCCATAGACACGTGTGTTATTGCTAGCCGTAGCCATGTCATTTGAATCTAGCCTTAGACTGTAAGGTCATGTCCAATTACTGGGCTATGGCTAGCAATCACACAGGGGCTATGCAAGCGGCTGCAGCCACTTCCCATAGACACGTGTGTTATTGCTAGCCACAGCCAGGCAATTCGGACGCGGCTTTAGACTAAGACTACTCTGAACCAGGTATCAACTGTTTGCTTACCTGTAACATGGCGAGGCCGATACCGACTGCTGAGATGACTGTAGCAAAGTGGATACCCTGCGCCTTTACAGCCTCTTTACAGCCCTGTAAGAATGAAGCAAAGAGGGGTTAGGCCAAAAAAAAAAGTCTCCGGTTTCTGGTATGGAGCTTGCCCCAAAAGTGGTGCGGCGACGCGGCTTTTTTTTTTTTTTTTTACCTGTTTTTTTTTTTTTTTTGGCTTCAAATGTCGGCTGATGACTGCAAATGGTGCCCGACTAAACTTAGTGCAAATATATGGAAGTCCAGAGAGGCCACATAAAGCTTATTCTCGATCATAACCCCATCTAAAAACACGTTAAAATTGTGCAGCAGCAGGATTCCAGTCAAACCAGTGAGTTTGGCGGTTTTGAGACATCATCTTGTATTGAAAAACAAACTTTTTCATTTTGCCGACGCGCATGGCTACGGCGACGCGCGCGCATACCAGAAACTGGAGACTTTTTTTTTTTTTGGCCTTAGCGACGACTCGCAATCTCAAGACTTGAACAACTTGGAATCAGTGAAGTATACATTAAACCCTGATCCTGCCGGGATAATCATTAAAGGTGCGTGAATGCGCATGGATCCGGGCCCATGATGCGCGCGTGTTAATTACAAGCAGAATTGGCGTCCGCGTAACCTCGCGTATCATCACTGCAATTTTATCCTGAATGACCTTTGACATGGACTACTTTATCAAGATACCGAAATGGCTTATAGGTTTTAAATTTGCTTACTTCGGTTTGTTAAAAGTTAGCTTTAACAATGTATTTTTTCCTTCTTTGTTTTAACTCCAGAAAAAAAGAGACTTAATTCCACTTACAATACAAGTTTTTAGCTGAGAATCCAATATCACATTTTGCCAAATCCAATTCCATTATTATCAATGGAGTGGCCGGCCTCCCCGCCCATCTCTGGCCTGTGTACCTTTCTCACAGTGTTTGTGACCAATTTTGATTGGACTACCATGGTCATCTGATCCAAACTCATGATCTAATTGGTCAGTGCTTACTGTTGGATTGACAGACAGGAAGGATCTATTTAAGATTGGGGATGAGGAAATCAGGAGGGGGAGGGAAAGGGAATATCCAAGAAATGAACTCCAACATTGCAATTTGTGGGTACGTGTGGTCTAGCTGGCACAGGATTCATGATTGTGAGTTCAACCCAGCCATGGCCATGCGTGTTGTGCCCTTGAGTAAGATGCTTTAACTCAATAACTCCTATTCATAAGAGGGAATTTTGCGTCGGGGTGATGTAAATCAAATTAGGTTTTGCCCTACACAAACGTGTAAACACTGTATACTCAGTGTGTTACCTCCCGTGTGAAAGTTGGAAAAAATCACTCGGGTGGGACTCCAACCCACTCGAAGAACAAAACCTAATTTGATTTCCATCGCCCCGACGCAAAATTCCATCTTATGAATAGTTAATGTGGTGCCCGCTGTTACGTACATAAGATTTGAACCGGCCAACCGATCCCGTTAGCTCGGTGGTCGAGTGGAAAGACGTCTGCACTAGAAAGCAGGAGGTCGTGGGTTCGAGTTCCACCCGAGTGATATTTTCCAACTTTCACTCGGGAGGTAACACACTGAGTATACAGTGTTTAAACGTCGGTGAAGGGCAAAACCTAATTTGATCAATCACTCCTCTCAGCCCAGGTTTTAAATGGGTACCGGTGTCACATGAAAATCCGACTCACATGAAAATCCGACTCCTATGAAAATCGGACCCCTTTTTCCCTTTTATTGGTTCAACCCTCGCACGTGACAGGTCACTCTCCCCAAACGATCCTAAAAATAGCATAGTATCGTACTCACGCGTGCGCACTACTACCAATGAGTCCACATTTCATGGAGTCGGATATTCACGCTACACCGGCATTATTCAATGCTGGGAAGGTAACAGACTCGTTGTGGAGGAGGTGTGGCGATCCCCCCACAGCAGCATTTCATGGACTCGAGTCTGGCCTGATCGCTTCAAAAATGAGATGGGCACTCCGTTCCCATGAACACAGATTCGTCCCCCCTTGCAATTTGCAATGTAAACACTCACGATGTTGTTTATGAAGGCCAGGTGCGTGTTGAACCGGCTCTGGCAATGGGCCAGGTTGATGGGTTCCCCGTTAGGGTTGCGTGTACAGCAAGATGGAGGGACTTGAATACGGTAATTGGCATCGAACCACAGCGAGGCCTGATAGAGCTGGGCAGCGTCGTGGCTGTCCCCCTCGAATCCGCAGCAGTCAAACTAGGGTGAAGATGACAAATAAAATCACAGAGGTTGAGTCATCTGCACTTGTAAGCAGGGGGCTGTGGGTTCGATTCCCACCTGAGCAAGTTTATGCATTTTTGTCTATAAAAGCTCTCTGACTGCACTAAATATAGAGTTCTTATAAATGTAGGAAAACCTCAATGCACAACATTGCCCAACAGCCGACTTCGGAGCTGCTTGCTTGTTTCTAACATGGGCAATATTTTTCAATTGGGCCCTACCGTTTGTTGCATGTAGTTGTAGGCGTCTGTGGTTTCTATGTAGTTTCCCTGTCCGTACTTGAGGAGTACGGCATCTCTCATTTCCCTACTGGCAAACGTTTCAATCTGGACGGAAACAATCAGAGAATGTTGGTGATTTTCATGGGAAATTCTCCACAAGGCAATTACAAGCCAATAACAAGTCAATCACATGCCAATCATTACTTAATCATATGTAAATCACAAGGAAATTACAACTCAATCACATGTCAATCACATGTCATTACAAGGCAATCACAAATCAATCACAAGTCATCAAAAACAGACGTTAGCCAAGACTCTCTTCTACTTCATTTCACATTGTTGAATAGCTTGTCCCTTGACTTAAGCTTGACTTGATGACTTATGATGACTTATGATGACTAGCGATGACTTGCGATTGACTTGTGATTGACTTGCGATTAACTTGTGATTGACTTGTGATTGACTTGCGATTGACTTGCGATTGACTTGCAATTGACTTGTGATTGACTTGTGATTGACTTGTGATTGACTTGTGATTGACTTGCGATTGACTTGCGATTGACTTGCCATTGACTTGTGATTGACTTGTGATTGACTTGCAATTGACTTGCGATTGACTTGTGATTGACTTGCGATTGACTTGCGATTGACTTGCGATTGACTTGTGATTGACTTGCGATTGACTGTGATTGACTTGCAATCACAAGTCTTGTGATTGACTTGCAATTGACTTGTGATTGACTTGCGATTGACTTGTGATTGACTAGTGATTGACTTGTGATTAACTTGTGATTGACTTGTGATTGACTTGCAATCACAAGTCTTGTGATTGACTTGTGATGACTTGTGATTAACTTGCGATTGACTTGTGATTGACTTGTGATTGACTTGTGATTGACTTGTGATGACTTGTGATTAACTTGCGATTGACTTGTGATTGACTTGCGATTGACTTGTGATTGACTTGCGATTGACTTGCAATTGACTTGCAATTGACTTGTGATGACTTGTAAAGTGACTGCATAACAGTATTACCTTTGGCTTGAATAAACTATTTTGAAAGAAAACATTCGAAGAATTTTTACGAAAGGGATATTTTACTGACCTGTGTGTAAAACGCCAAGGAAAGTACTCCAGCAGAGAACTCAGCAACAAATATCAGAAGCATTGACACAGCAAACTGGAAAAATAAAAATCAATAGGAACATTAAAGTTCTGTAAATTTATACACCACTCATGTTTGGAAATTGCACTGCTTGGATTATTTTTGGTACAATCTCTGTCAAGTAGACAACAAAATTTACATTATTCATGAAGATGTTATTTGCGTCGGTGGTCGGTGTGATGTAAATTCTTTATTAGGTTTTGCCTTTCAACGATGTATTTTATAAACGCTGTATACGCAGTGTGGTCCTGAGTGATTGTGAGAAAAAACTCACAAACTACTTGGGAGGGACTCGAACCCACGACCTCCTGCTTACTAGTGCAGACGTCTTACCACTCGACCACAGAGCTTGCCAGGATCGGCTGGCCGGTTCGATAATTTACATTACTGAACAGTATTTGTTAGATGTTCCACAGGAGATTTTGACCAAAACAAAATGGCCTTCAGCTCAATGTCATTAAACGGAGAGCGGAAAAATCTTCTTAGATTTTTTTCCATGCAAAGAAAAGTTTGCGCTTCATAACTCTGCAAAGATATAAAGATTTTATTTCCAAAATGTGATCAATTTGTAAAAAGTGATAAAGTTGCAGAGTTTATGAAATCTTATACAGCACACACAGAATTAAAGCTGTTTCTAAATTACATGTTTGTTTTATTGTATTCTTAAATTGTGTTTAACTATAATACATGTGTAACGACTGTCGAAACTGACTTCAGGCAACCAAGAGTGGGGGGGAGGGGGATTCCAAAAGGTACCAGTATTTGGCGTTCGCTCGTACCCCCCGCCCTGCAAACAGGATGCTGGAAAGGGCTGACTAATTAACACTCTGATTGGATAGATTTTGCGTGACCTGTGACCTGCAAGTCATCACGACCGCGACCCTGCAAGATTTGAAACGGCCATTAAGACTGGGTCATTCATCACTCTTTTCAGATTCCCATTCATAAATGCCGCGCCCTTTTTGGGTTGGAAATGCATAATAATGTAAATTAAGAAATGCATAATAATGTAAATATTGAAAATCTTTTCTGTTTTGAAAATTTTCAACTCCCGTCAGTTGCTCAGGCTCCATTTCGAATTCACGAAGGGTGGAAATGCATATCATTCGACGCTCAAAATTTGTCCACATGGTCCGCAATGAAAAAAAAATCACATCCGGTATAATGTGTATGTATTTCGATGGCAAACTTTTCGGATAGTATTTGCGCGCATCGGCTAACCGCGGTCTACAGCTGCAGCCAGATGCTTTATACATAGGTCATGACAAATTACCCAGAATGCCATCCCCACTTCCTTGACAAGATTCCGTGAAGCTCATCTGCCCTTCCCAGCGCCCTGTTTGCAGGGCGGTGGGGTACATGTGTACGAGCGAATATTTGGCATTTATTACGTTTTGGAGAAAAACTCTTCGCACGCCTCTTGGCATTGCTAGGACAACATTGTTAACAATAAAGATACAAATGGGCAGGACTTACAAATACAAGCAGGCATCTGTTTTCGTAGCGTGCCCCGCAGCATCCCAAGACGGATACCAGCGTGGCGGCCGCGCCGGCCCCGATGAGGATGATTGCCGCAAAGACGTACATGCGCGTGTTGGTCAGGATCACAATGCGGAAACTGGTAGGATGGACGATGGCCCATACTCCCACGCCGCTGGCTGCAATGCCGCCAAACTGAAAACGAGACAAACACAAAGTACAGAATAATTGAATTATTTTCGTCACAAAGTTTGAATTATTGGCTGCCAGACGATAATTCGGTTCTCGCAAGGTGGGTTCATTTGTGAACAAAATGAAAGCCTTTTTTCCAGAGGGTTGCAGACTCCAAAAAATCAGAATGAAGTAGTTTTTTGTTAAAACAAAACATACAAACTGATAATTCCTATTAGAAAAGAAAAAAAGCCTGTTTTTCTGAAGGGCCTGGAAACCAACAAAAGATTGAATACCTCTCCACAGAGCAATTTCTATAGATGAATACGTCTCCACAAGGTTAATCACGAAACAGATATGGATTTTACTCAAAAACTAGGAATTTCCAAGGTGGGTTGATCCATCGCAATTGAAGTATTTTATGTAGAAAGGGATATTATGTCCGAATTTCAGCCCAGGAAATTAATTCTGGTTAAAATAGGAGCATTTTGAAACTACACTTTCAAACTCGAAAACTTTAGTACACGAGAAGAAAGAAATTACTCCACAAGGATACAAATTCCAGTATCGAGGACACACACGTGCAACATCATCGATGAATTGAGGACAGGAACCAAATCAAGGACGACCTCGATTAGAAAACGTGTACAAAACCAATGACAGCTGTTGCGAAAAAGTTAAAAACAAAGGAAAAGAGAAGAGGAACAATAGAAAATCCTTGATTTATACCATAAACAATCATGTGTGTACATATACACATGTACACTAAACAACATGGGTTAGGGCAAAAAAAAAAAATATTCGGTCTCTGGTCAGACCAAAGTTCCAGAATTGACGCGGCGACGCGGCTTTTTTTTTTTTTTTCCTTCAAGCTTGGATTGTACAGACAAGGTGGGGTACTATTTTGCTTTTTTGGTGTCCTCATGTACATTGGTGTCCTCCATAATTTGCCTTGGTGCTCTCGATCATTTGCCTTGGTGCAATTTCCCATTCCTTGGTGCTCTTTGGTAAAAAAAAATGAGGAGGTGCGGCAATAGAGGGCACTGTTGGAGCTACCGCGGAACATTTTGGAAAAAAAAAAAATTCGACGCGCGCGCTGACCAGAGACCGACTTATTTTTTTTTTTGGCCTTAGGAACCAATGCATACTTACCAGAAAGAGCACACAGAACAGATACAGCGACCATTTGAAGCATTTGCCGAAGCACGACAGCGTGGACACGGGCGCCTCAAAGCTGACCATGTTGTCTGGTCCTTCAAAAACCTTGCCCCAGTTACTTCAGAGTCCCTGAGCTTCCCTCTTCTGTTTGATCCAAGGCACAAATTTCCAGTGGGTAAAGTTGATCAGATCACTTCAGTTGCATAATTAAAAACTGAAAAGATTTAAAAATCAAATCGTTAATGACAGCATTTTTGTAGGCTCTTTTATTTAAATTTTTCAATAGGTTTCTCTCAAAGACGGTCATCTTTTGTAGGAGAACCCCGACTGTATATTTTACGCAATCAAGCACGCATTGAGCAGTGTTGGAAACGTTCCAAACACGCGCGCTTGTTGCTCGAAGTGTGTTCAAAATACGACGCAGCCGAAGCGCGTTATGCAAGTTGATGCTCAAAATGCCGATGCACGTGGCTGGTCTGTAGGAAATGACGTCATTTGAACGAGACCTACACAGATTGATTTAAGACCCAATTACATTTAATTAAAAGTACATTTCATTGGGCAAGTGTCAGTACAAATACCGGTACATGTGAAGCCTACTTTACTATTTTTATAATATTGTTCCCCCAACCGTACATTCAAGCAATCCATAGTTTCTAAAGGCTAGTACTGAAAAATATTCTTCTTGTTTTTTTTTTTCCGCGTTCAGCCTCTCGTTGGAACTCTCTTTAATGTTATGTAACCCGTGGTTCACACTTCAAAATAACAGCAACCAAATCTTGTATTAATTTAACTCCCTTTTGAAAAAAACTCTTTGACTTCATACCATTCAGGATTTACGTACACAATGAAATTTGTTTTATAGCCAGAAATAAAGTGGTATCAAGCAATGGCAATACAAATTAAGAATGCAATGAGGTTAAATATAATTCACAGAAAACACAGGATCCTGTAAAATTTAAAATACAAAGCTAGAGCTCAGAAAAAAAAGGCGCCAAAACCATAAAATGGTTAAACTCAGGATTCATCCATCCTCGGTAGTTCGGAGTCCATCATAACGTAGAAGAGCTTGAAGATAATTGACAAATGATGTGACGAAGCAGACTAGTTGACGAAGGGTCCAGTTGAAGACGAAAAGTTCAATTGAAGACGGGAGTGGAAATGACAACTCTTGTCATTTAGACGGTGCAGTGAAATAAAAGGTATAGGCCCTACCCAGCCAGTTTTGAGACAAATGAATTCAAGGTCTGTGTTTGTAGCACTGCTACATGCTACAAGAAATAGTAAGTCGGGTGATACGTTGATGATTTTTTCGAATGGGCAGAGCCACCGTTTGGTCAAAGAACCAGACCAGGGTGTATACTTAACACACTACATGTAACTGAAGTGGCTGGTAGTGGCAAGTAGGAAAAAAAGTGCTACACCATTGACTTGAGCACAACTTAAATGCTACACAGTGCTACACGCGTAAATGAAAGGGCGAGAAGTAAGGGGCCTTGGCAAGAAGCAAAAAAAGTGCTACACCGTTGACTTGTGCACAAATGAAATGCTTCACACTGGTAAACACAATACGCCTTTGTTTACACGTGCAATGGCAGGTTACCAGTCCGTAGCATGTAGCATTGCTACAGGATTTGTGGTGGGAGTCCCCATGTCTCAAAAATTGCTCCATATGGGTGCACCAGTCAGTAATAAAAAAGCAGAAGACACAAAAGACATCCTCTATTCTTCCAGGAAGTGGGCAAGATCAAAGACAGGCTTTAACAAAAGTAGGAAAAGATCAAAGGTCTACTGGAACACAAGTCACCAGTAGAAAAGATGAAACATCATAAAAGATTAGAAAAGGGAAATTATGCAAATAGTAAACACAGTCATATAAAATAATACTATAACCCAAGACCTCTTTTTGGGTCAGGGTTACAGTTCAATCTCTCACATTTCAAGCAAAACTTAAAATGAAACGTTCTTCTCTAATCAAGTCTTTCTTTGTCTGCTCTTTTTTAGTTTACAGCCTGCACCTAAGTTTTGAGTGGCTTTGGCCATATCAATCCTTATCGACACTATGAATTCAATCAAACCAAAACCTTGTACCAACCTATTTGTTCCATTCTACTGAAGAAAAAACACAACATTTTAGTCTCTACCTAGCACTCTAGTATTTCTTTAACTTAAGCCCATAGAATTATTTGATACTTTTTGAATGAGTTACACAGAAGTTTTCTTGCCATTTTTTTGACAAGCCAGAAAGATTTCCATATAAGAAGTTCACTAATTTTCCTCTGTATTGACTAACAAGCCCCCAGATAGCAATTTCATGTCATCAAAGTCAATTTGAGCAGTGAGAAAATACAAGCATTTCCCTAGAAAACACTTAACAATTTTCAGTCCACTCTTATAGGGTTTGTACACAGGGTGTTGAGTGAACTTCTTATATGGAAATCTTTCCGACAAGCCCACTAGACAACCTGAGAAGTTACCAGAAAATTGTACAAGATATTTTAGGCTGTACTAGTTATAAAATATTGAAGCTCGATCGTAGTTGGTTCGATTCTGAACATTAGGCCTACATGTACATGTTCAAGTAAATCAAAATTACCTTCAATTTGAAAGGAAATCTATGACCGGACAAATGTTGTACACTTTTGAATTCTACAGTTACATCTGGGGCACTCAAAGTAATGAACACAGTCAGACAGTGCTCCGGCTAAGAAATTGCATACCATAAACCAAGTACGCAGCCATGACAGGAAACAATTAGAGTGAGTAATAGGTCATTATGAACTGCTGGATTGCTAATGACATCAACTTGGCAAGGTCAGAGGAAAAAGGCACTTCATATTTCGTCAGAAAGTTTCCTGTAATCTGAGGTACACGAGGATCAACTGTCTACATGCAGGTACACATGCTGCATAGATAACTTTAGGGGGAGAGGCCAAAGGGAGGGGGCAGTGGTTAACAGACATTAAAGGGAATATACAACATTTGCAAACATCGAAAAATAAAACTACCAAGTTTTTACGACATACCTTACTAGGATGTTGGTAAATGACAGTCTTAAACATCCTGTAAAATTATAACACCTGGTGTCCAGTCATTTTCAAGAAAACGGTATTTTTGTATACATTTCCAACGGTGGTCGGCCGACCACCGTTGGAAAAACCTAACTATTTTTCAACTACTGCTCCAAATTTACATTTTTTCAGTCCAAATTTTGTTTGCTGTTGGTTACATGTTCATTAACGGGTGCAGGCCAGCAAGACTGGTTCCCTTACCTTACAATTTTCGGACAACTATAAATTGATCCATTTTATCTTTAGTGGAGTCAAGGAACCAGACTACTTCAACATTTTTGTTTTCTTGGTATTTCAAGCATTTTCGAACACAAAACTTCAAACATGTCAGTGAAACAATATTTGATCTATTATACTAACCCCTCAAATACTTCATTTCTGAAAATTACAACAAAAGCAAACGATGTACATTCCCTTTAAATGGAAGGCGTTTCTTGCCATTTTCTAACAAAATGTGTATTTCCTAATCAACATTGGAAATGTTTCTCAGTCCCAGATTCATGTCTATCTTATCATCATTTTTGCAATGACTGACCTTCATTGAGATGATATATGAAGAAAAAAGTGGCCTCTGGTTGCGTTCATATTTTCCAATATTTTCCCTACTAAATTTGACTTTTTAGGACAGTTATCGCTTTCTGGTGTGTGATAGGTCACTGCAGGGAAAAATAAGTGACGGCCATAGCCCTATAATGGAATTTCTTTACCTGTATTTCACCCTAGTCTAGACCTGTGAACGTGGTAAACAACGCCACGGGCCGTCCTCGCCTAAATACAAGCGAAATCATTTTATTTTTTGATCCGCGACATATAACCATGTATAATTTTGCTCATAGGTAAATCACTTACTTGTTAGGCTTCCTGTGAATTTACGCGAGTGTTGGATCTGTCATGCCAAGAAATTTGATGGAAAAAAAACAGCACAACGAACGTGTTCAAAATGATCAGAAAATCAAAGACACGCATGATACTCTGGTACCCCGAGTTCCGCGTACACAAAACGGTAGGAGTCCCACCATCGGGTACCCGACTTCCTGTCTTACATGGCAGGATGACTGTAATAAAATTCTGCTAAATCCACTTCAACAATCTGCCAAATCACACAATATATGCTTTTCCATTGTCATATTGTGCTGCAAGGGTTTGTTTCTGGGATCTTTTAAAAAAATGAAGCTTTTTCAAACCAAATATGCTATATTTCGGCCCTATACATGTATTTCTCTAATCCTTTTCTTTTTCCTTCACTTCAGAAACACCAATCTGCTTAATTCTGCTGAAAAAAATATTCTGCTAAAGTTTTTGTGCAACTCATTTTTGTATGCAAACATTCTGTAAAATTTAGCCGAAATTCGGCTAGAATGGTCACTCGATCACAGTAACTGCGGATCACAATACTGTAGATCAAAACGTTGCCACATTCATGGGTGTAACCCTCTAGTCATGCTAGTACTTGGCCTATAATAAAGAGCCGCACAATGAATGAATTTGACGCCATATTGGTGAGACCGGCTGGTGATCTACAAAGGACAAGTTGCTGTCTTTATAGACAGCATGATTTCTTTTGTAACGTCGCTGTTCACTTGACTTATTTTGACCACCACCACTGACCAAGGTTTACTACAATTTTTTGTAACGTCGTGGTCACTTTTATAATGCCGCAAATCACTTTTTCGGCGTTTTTGAAATAATAATCACTACGGGAATGTGTCCCTTTTAGAATAAATGCGCGTCAACTGTTGATACAACGCGCGCCTATTTACGCGTAGAACGTTCGTATTATACGCGGCCATCTTCGTGAGACCGGGGACGAATTGGTCAATATGCAAGGTCTACTGTGTGAATGTTGAATGCATATCCGCTATCCAGTCTTTATATAGAGATCAGTGCCCCCCCCTCCCCCCTCCCCCCCCCCCCCCCCCCCCCCCCTGTTGAATACAATAGTTTACGAAGTTGGATCCAACAACCGTTTCCCAAATCCGATAAAGTAAGTCCACGTAAGCCCTGATCATGACAAAATAATACCCACTCACTTACCCACTCAAATAAATATCACATTGAGCCAAATAAACGGTGTTATTATCAGTCAAAATCCGTCGTTAGAAACGGCGTCTGTGCCCGTGGGAACACTCTCACTTTCTATAGTAAGTCTTATAACTGACCGCACACTATTTCATTATCATGCTACAGCGGAGGGGTAACCAGACTATTTTCGTGACATTTAACCTAATTATATATGCACACTTGCCGCGCCCCGTTAATTTAATAATGGAACCTTCCTCTTTTGTCATTATAATAAATGAATAATTAAACAATAGGTACACGACTGGACCGCACCCATGTTTTGAATAATTTAGCCGGCACCAGTAAACTGTTGATGTAGGCCTATATATGCGTCTGAAATAAATACGAATTCTCAATTAAACTTATATCATGTATACATATATACATGTACATGTAGGGTTATTTTTTTCCCATGCCCACTAAAATAAATTGATTTGTCTGTTTTTTTCTTTTTGGGTTGTTGGATTTTCTTCATTAGGGGAAATTGATGTTATTATTTATTTACTTCAGCCCCTCCCCCCTTTTTTTTTTTACAATAACGACAAAGTAGCTCATTATGAATTGTTCACTTATTAGCAATTTTTTTAAACAAAACTCACAAAGAAAATCAACAACATATCACAGTCAGCTACATTTTTTACACCTTTATTTATTCGATTTCACCTTTCCTTACTGAATACATGAAACATACATTATGTCTACAACTTACGACAAAAATCACATTTACGTTGGTCTACACAATTCATATTACAATTTTAAAGCATTTTTTTTTGTTATGCCATTCTTTACAGCATCGTTATTATGGTTTTCATTCAGTTGACAAAAGGAGGACGCCAAAGTAATAAAAGGTCAAATTGTATCATCAAATTTCTGACCGACCAAAATGTTTAGCTTTTGACAAAATTACCAGACATATTAAATGTTTCATAATGCCAGACTTTATCCCATTATTTACTTCTATTAAGATTATGATTTATGTTAACTGCATAATATGAATCTCAGTTTGAAATGTTTCTTCAACATAATTTTTTTTTTTAAATGAGAAAAATAAGTTTCAAAGGGGTATTAAATAAAGGATGCACAAAAATGTGTTCAACATCTGAATTGCCAGATTGCTTTTTTGGTTCGAGACAAAATTTTGGATAATTAGTGTTGGAGATGCACTAAAAGTTTAACATTCCGGCAAGGACAGCATGCGGCCATCTTGACTTGTTGGGGGTCCAGGTTGCTAGGCAACCCAAAAAAAGGGCCAATTGAAATTGATCTGGGTACTTTTTTTCCACTATTAAACTGAAAATATCCAAAATTAGTTTACTTTAACTACTTCCAAGCTACAATATTTGTTTTAAAAAAAAATCTGAAGTCGAATCCAACAATTTAATTCCTATTCAAAAAAAATATACTTCAGCTATAATAAAAATAAGCAAAAACAAATAGTGTACAGGGATTAAAATGAATAAACAAAATATATCATAATTGTTTTATTTTTACAGCATACAAAACATCACCATAGCAACATAGGACCCTGTATCACAACAAAACGTGGGGTAAATATACACAAATCTAAGCTTTCAGCAATTGTTTTAAATATTTTGTCTGGGTATTTCATACAAGAAAACAAATATTATTTCGCTTTATTTGTTTCTCACTGTTAGTATTTCACACATGCCAATTAATGCGTGCCTTTGCTATGAGCAAAACTGACCAATCAAACGACACATACTGGTGCCACAGACGGTGTGATAATACAGCTCTTTTGATTGGTCAGTGATACCAAGTACCAACCAATGACACGTCTTCAAGTAGAACTGAAGAGTTTACAGCTTGTGGAATATACCCAAGTTCTAAAATGCAGCATCCCTACATTTGTTCTATACTTAAGTTCTGAATACATACAACGGTGCAAGTATAGCTCCAAAAAAATTCTGTCATAAAAGTACAGTTACCATATTGTGGACAATTTTATTACAGTTAAATAGTCAAGTTTTTGCACAACGAGAAAAAGGGAACGTTCTCCATAAACACTGAAAGTACTGGAAAAATACAGCATGGGAGTTGACCATGCACCGAGTGTACAATGAGGGAGCAGCTATGTTTGATGCACAATAGGCTGGAGCCTACATTGTGGCGGCATTTAGTAATAGAGATCTTTATAATGCTCTATGGGAACTAGTCCAAGATGGCTCCTGTCTTTAAAAAAAACCCACACACTTGATCACAATGTCAACAGCAGTGGCCTCAGTGTACACGAGGCGTTTGCTTCTACCTTGACAAACTTGTGTGAACCAGTGAAATTGTTCCGATTTTTTTTTGGAAAGTGTGTGTTACCTACTCTGAATGGACAGTCGTTTAAATGTCGGACATGATGCTCAGGACCGCCTTCAACTTTCTTGCAGTTTGACAGAGTAGTACAGCAGTAGACTGTACGTGCAGAGTATAAAACAAATGCCTTAAAAATAACTTCAACATCAATTTAACTTCTTCTACTGTGAATGCAGAAAGTGTAAGCCCCAACTACTGTTAATTAGGACAATTTTCTCTGCTCCTAGTTTATTTGTTACCCCCCTGGATACAGCCTCCACATATAAAAAGTACAAAATATAACTTTTAAATAGTTTCACCTAAATACTGAACTTAGTATGCTACTTTTATGACGCCACCAAAACCACACACACAGTACAATCGTTCTAGTATATACATACAAAATCCTTTAAGAAGTCATGCACTTATTTCTAAAGACATTTAAAAAGAAAAACCTTCCGTCTAGTCACTACAACGTTTAGGATAAGTGTGGTTAAATACCAATCATTAAAACGACTACTGTCTTATAATAGTACATACTAAGTACTTTTTTTTTCCTTTCTAACAATTGCGCTTTTTTGTTTTGTTTTAAATGTACATTCGCTTTCAATACAACAAAACCAAAAGATTTCACTTTGTGCAGATTTTTTGTTTGAAAAGAAATTTGAGAAAATAAAAATTTAAAAAATAGCCGAGTCAAAAAGAATTCCAAATAAGACAAGACTGTGCAAAATGTGTTCTCTTCACAAACAAAACTATACAGTATTTCTATTTTTGTGACCGCGAACATCCCTGCTTTTTAGGAATGGATTTTCCCACTCAATCGGGTGTTACAGTGGACTCTCCCATTTAACTTCACAAGGAGGGATGACCAAATTCATTGACAATTAAAAGCAGCATTTTGCCACAAGCTTGAAAAAATCTACACGCAAAATTAAAGAGCCTCAAGATTTTCCTCAATGTAACAATAAAGAACGAACTTCAATGCCTCTAAAAAAAGAAAAATTATCAGAATGACTCAAAACAGTGAATATTCAAGTTTACAGCGCTAATCAATATGCAGAATATTTAAAACCATGATGCAGATTTTGAACAGCACAATTCACTCCGGTTATCGACGTCGGTTCTAAAAAATTACTAGGAAATGTTGATCAACTGACTTAATGTCAAAAGATCTGGAATCTTGAAAGTACATGTACTATACTCTTTGAACAAACATTTACAGGAATGATTAGATAAGTACAATGTTCCCCCTCCCTGTTAAGCATTTTAATGTCTTTAACCTGACACTGAATAAGCCATCTCCACTCTACCAGTTCCAAAAATGTATCCTCATAATTTCTGTTCTGCCTTCCGTAAAAACTACAATTGTGACTACTTCTTGATCTCGCAAAATGCATCAGTTTCAAAACATTGGCTTATTTTCAGATATGACACACTAGTAAGCTACATGTACAGAAATGCATTAACCTACAGTACCTGAAGAAACACACCTTCGTAAAACTCCGCTGCTCGTTAAAACTTTGAAAGACACGATCCTAATACACGTCACACTTTGTTTTGGACACATTTCTAGATGCACGCAGACGCTGCAGCTTTTTTTGTACAATGGCACCATACAAGGTGCCCTGCCTGAGAGCCTTATTAGCAAAGGAACACCGTCATACCGGCATCTTTTGTGAAGTACCTTTCAATTGGTCAATCCAAATTAGGACAGAGACCTTGAATTTTAAATGACCAATCACCAGCACTGATATCTGGGAGATGAATACATACTCACTTCTTTTAAAGACATTCTTCAGCTATACATGTATGCATAGCCTATATTTCATACAGTACAATTTAGTCATACAGTGCACGTCTCCAGAGGGCACGGTGTATCATGCAATTTCTATTTCAAAATCCTTTATTTATTTCACGACAGTGTTCCTTTGTCAATCTATAATCAAGACGAAGCCCTTTTTTAAAAATTTCTTCTTCAGTCGAGATCGAGGTAGAACAGCGAAAAAGAGTTCTTTGTGCCATTTTAAGGGAAGAAAAAAAGAAAAGAAGGGAAATTTCATACTGGTAGCCATGATTACAAAATGTTTCAGTAAGTCCTGACATCATTGTTGCCATGGCGATGGCCCCTCACTCAGGACAGGAAACGACTACACGTACATCAGATGACATGAATGAATTGATCCATGTGAAAGGGCCATTGATTTTATCCATGACACAGGGCCATCTAATAAAACCGTAACACCTTCCTCTTTTCTTTGTCCTCCCCAAAATGGCCGCCTACTTAAGCCAATTTTTTTTTTTTACAGAAACTTTGTCAACGACAATGAACATTTTACCACATGTCACAAATATTACCATATAAGTCAATACAGGTATAGAAAAAAGAGAACTTTCGTTCTTAAAATGCACAAAAAAAGACATCTTCTTTGCTTACACATTAGAGCATTTTCGCACCATTTGTCGCATTTCTTAATATGACACATTATAGTAACACGCATAGCAATTCTACCTACAAGGCAATTGGAGTTAATACTACAGGTTTTAAGGTCATTAAGTTCTAAAAGTTCGATCTATATTCAAATATTTTTATCACTTCATATTTTCCCCTACTATATTTTCCGGAACGATATTTACAGAGTCTCATTTCTTTTCTATTTCTAGCGTTTGTAAATCGGGGGGATGAATTAATTTACAAAACTAAAATGTGTACGTCACCTTTTTTTCCAATTCTCTCTCAAAATAAAACTATTTTGTTCAGATATCCCGTGATCCTGACCTGACGGTTTAAAAAAAAGCATGAAGCACGCCCTCTAGAGGTAATGGTGAGACAGGCACTCGTTTGAATAATATATCTCATTAAGTCTCACCTGTAACATGGCTTATCTACAAATACTTTAAAAATCTGACCTGTTAGTTTCTTTTTTTTTTTACATGGTTTCTACTTTGTTTTCCAACGGGTAACACAGACTTTACCACACGCCGTGATTTTTTTGTCTTACGTGATATGAAAATACTATCGTCAAACCACGTTCAGACCACATTTATGGGGCGGAATAAACGGGGGTGAAATGTCCTACCTGGAACTGTAAATTGCTAAAAAAGCTGGGAAGTTGTTTCCGTGTGTCCAACCGACTGGTCACACACGTTTTTTGTTTTTTTTTACGGGGGAAAAACTCTCAAGCCTATGAGCGTTTGTGTACACATTTTCAAACTGTTTACATCAAGATGCCTCTTGTTTCTTTCTACACGTTAAGCTAGCTGTTTTTTTTACACTGCCGAGTCGTTTACTAATCTTCGGAGTCGACGTTCCTGCAGACGCAGATGGCAAGGAGCATACAACACAGCTGCAAACGGAGAAAAAGAACCAGAGTAAATTCGCACCACATTTCAGACAAGGCAAGCCTACAAAAGGTGGTTCCAGAGCACACAAAATTCTGCTCGGAGCTAAGAGAACTCGTGAGTGAAGGAAAATCACTTAATCGTTCAAGTGCCCTGGCCTACACCGCGTTATGGGGAAGTTTTTCTTTGTTAGGGTAATTAGGACCGAGTTGTGGGGACTTTTTTCTGTCCCCACAGCATTTTCGGTCCCCAAAAATACGGCGTAGAGACGAGTGTATGTCCCCACAAATACAGAACAAGAACATGTGGGAAGTCGGTGAGATTCAAACCAACACCCTCCTACTTCCTAATGCATGTATGTTATCATCTAGACCACAGAACTTGCCATAGTACAGGGTGGGTCAAAAAAGCGAAACCAAAATGTCGGGACTTCTGTTTTAGGGAAGTTCTGCATGTAGCACTTCCAAAATCTAGGATATGAAAGCCCGTTTCATAAGCTTTCTTTTAGTACAAGAATCATTCAAAGCGCTCATGTACTTTTGAAGTTGCGGAATTTTAAACACAACCACCGTTTTAAAGTTCTGTCCACGGATCACAAAGAAGGTGTGCGTTCTTTCAGCAAAACGAAACGATTCACCAGATCCCTGAGTGATTTGTTTTTCGTTTTGCTGAAAGAACACTAACCTTCTGATAATCCGCGGACAGAACAATAAAACAGTGGTCGTGTTTAAAATTCCGTCACAAAAGTACACAAGTGATTTGAATGATTCTTGTACTAAAATATAGCTTATGAATTGGGCTTTCATATCCTAGATTTTGGAAGTGCTACATGCAGAACTTCATTAAAAATTTGGTCCCGACATTTGGGTTTCGCTTTTTTTTTACTCACCCTGTAGAACTGGTCAATACTTTGCTCTATGAAATACATCCCTGCAGGCCATACATGTACCAATATTACAGGCAAGATTTCATTTCGCCTCGCCTGTTACTTTGCCATCTGTCACCCACTACGCTGGCAAGTCACCCCACTCTGCGGGCAATCGCAGGTGATGAAGAAGGGAACAATCACCTTGTGATCAACTCGCAAACAATTTTTGAACACAGTAACTTTCCTACTTACATTTCTTTGTATTCGTGTAGTTAAACCGAAGGAAAAAATTGTTTTTCTCCCACTGTGAACACTCTGTCAACCCAATTTTTTTAATCATGATTTCCTTGAGTTTTCCTCTTCATTTTGTGACTGATAAACCTACCCCCCCTAAAAAAAAACCTGTTTTCAAGAGAAGAGGAAACCTAGTGTGGACCTATGCAAGTCCACACAGCATTCACGCTTCCTGCTTCCTGTGGACCTCTTTTATTCACAGGTCCCCAAAGAGTCTGCAAGGTTAGAACACCTACATTCGTTTATGGTGTAAATCGAGGATTTTCTATCGTTCCTCATCATCAATCCTTTGTTTATTTGCAACAGCCCACATAGGTTTTGTACACTTTTTCTAACCGAGGTCTTCCTCGATTTGACTCCTGTCCTCAATTAGGCCAAACAAAAAAAATATTCGGTCTCTGGTCAGACCAAAGTTCCGGAATTGACGCGGCGACGCGGCTTTTTTTTTTTTTTTTTGCTTTTTTCTTTTTTCTTCAAGCTTGGATTGTACAGACAAGGTGGAGTACTATTTTGCTTTTTTGGTGTCCTCATGTACATTGGTGTCCTCCATAATTTGCCTTGGTGCTTTCGATCATTTGCCTTGGTGCAATTTCCCATTCCTTGGTGCTCTTTGGTTAAAAAAAATTGAGGAGGTGCGGAAATAGAGGGCGCTGTTGGAGCTACCGCAGGACATTTTTGGGGAAAAAAAAAATCGACGTGCACGATTAAAATTGACGCGCGCGCTGACCAGAGACCGACTTATTTGTTTTTTTGGCCTTACATGTACTCGATGATGTTTCACATGCGTTTACTCAATGATGTTTCACATGCGTGTCCTCGATATACACCTTAAACAAACCCACCCACAAATACTGAAATTTGTATTCTTGTGGAGACATTTCTTTGTTCTCGTGTAGTAAAGTTTTCGAGTTTGAAAGTGAAGTTTCAAAATGCTCTTATTTTAACCACAAGTAATTTCCTTGGCTGAAATTCGGACTTAATATCCCTTTTCTAAAACTCTTCCATTTGCGACAGATCAACCCACCTTGGAAATTCCTAGTTTTTGAGTAAAATCCATATATCTATTTCGTGAAAATCTCGTGGAGACGTATTCATCTATAGAAATTGCCCTGTGGAGACATATACAATCTTTTGTTCCCTATTGTGTGCACGTCTCCAGAGGGCACGGTGTATCAGATCACACACACACATACACTGTTTGTGATTTCTAGTACAGCGGTGACTAACCCAAGCTGTGCAAAATTCCAAGCTTTTTTTGCGGGAGAAATGTAATGGTCTTACCTCGAAGAAAGCTACTCCTACCGCAGTTGCTCCAATGATGGTACCATAGTCTGAGATCAGCTTTTCAATTGCTGATTGGCATCCCTGTTGAAGAATCAAAAAGTGACCACATTCAACTTTTTTTTAACTCAGCAAACTGCCATATTCTCAATAAAAAAATGCAACACTCATCAAAAAGTTATATCTCAACATGTGCTTGACAAGATTCAATGATTTTTTTTACTTCGGGATAAACGTGGCATGTCTTAATGGTTGTGCGCGCATGGAGATATCTATTGTTACGTCACTGATTTAAGCAACTTTTTCCTCTGAGGTACATGTAGCTGTGCTTACTGCTTACAGTCTCCATGAAATAGACAGAGGCTCTGTTAGCAGAAAATTGTTTGCTTAGCAGCGCCATGATATTGGGCCCTGATGAGTAGGGACATTATGTGGATCAAAACATTCTCAGTTCCTACTGATTTCCGTTTTTTTTTAAAGGCGCCTGCTGTTCATTTCACAACTTTGCGAAATGGCGCAACTTCACCGGCGCAACAGTTTATTGCGTAAACTGCGCAACAGATTATTGCATAAGCTGCGCAACATTTCACAAAAGGCTTCATAGCGCGCAACAAATTGTGGTGCAACTTGCGCAATCAGTTTAGGTAGCGTAAGGTGTGGCGTAACGATTGAAAATTAACAATTTGACTAGCAAATCGTGATCGTCGCGGAGCCAATAATTGCACAACTTGTCAAGGTTGATACAAGACACTCACAGCTTTGTGTTAGAGGTAAATGCATTGCTATTTTACTCATGACAGAATTGTTAGAGTTGCCGCACGATTCCGAAGAAAGTCGGAATGGTGGGCGGAGGTGATTCAGCGTTATTATTCTCGTGCAAAATACAGGCATGCACCTTGGAAGAAACACAAAACAAGGAAACTCCTACGGTATCTTAACAAGACTTTGTACAGTGTTTTTCAATTTTTAATGGCCTGAGTGCGAAGTGAAAAACGGGGAAATCAGCTGATCCGAGGAATTGTTACATTGCCTGAAAATACTTAAATTATTTTAAAACGTTGCCCGGCTACGCCAAGTTTTGTGAAATTGATTGTACCATTATCGCTCAGCTGCGCAACAAGTTTGTTGCACAAGTGAAACGTATGTTGTGCAGTCGCACACTGTTTCGTGAAACTGGCTGCTGTGCATGAACTCAAAAAGTAGCTCACGCAACCCCAACTCATTTTGTTGGGTTGGTCCACTAAAATAAGCTTGACTACTGTGGGTCAAACATCAACTTTGATAACAATTGTTACTTACATTAGATCTCACAACGTTGTTGCTGCATTCCGAACTTGGACAGCAGGACTTCGGGTACGGTAAGTTGTCGTTAACGATGAATGTATTGCCTGCGTAATCTGCACTACCTTCCACCCCGCAGCACTCCAGCTGAAAGGGAAAGAGATGACTGCACGTCAAGACACCGGACTCGAAAGAAGGGTTCTAACCTTGCCCCACTCACAGCGTGCAATACGAAGATTCATTTCATATTTTAATTTCATTTTGTTCTTAACCCCTAATTGCTTAAAGGGAAGATACAACATTTGCACACATAAAAAAAACCGAAATGATCAATTTATCACGAAATATCTTACTGGATTGTTAAGGAATGACAGTCCAAAGCACCCTGTAAAATCGTGGCTCCTGGTGTGCTGACATTTTCAAGAAAACTTGTATTTTTCCCATGCTGGTCGGCCGACCAAAAGGTTGGTCGAACAAAATCGTTGGAAATTTATCTATTTTTGACTTGTATTGAATTTAGGACGGAACGATTTTGATTTTTTAACCAAAAAGGTATTTATGAACGGGAATAAATATGTGCTTAGCCGGTATTAAACACTATGTTTAAGACCAGTTGGAGTCTGGATGCTGATACTGTATTTGCCCATCCAGACTCCAACCGGTCTTAAACATAGTGTTTAAAACCGGCTAAGAACACATTGATACCATTAGTAATAGACACAAGTTAAGTCCCTCCGGTTCTTTTCAGAACCACACATACTCACAAAAGAGATTTATTCACATGGTGCTACCGCAAAACTTATCTTGTCTTAGTATCTTTCCACCATGCAAACCTTCAAATCAATCTCAGACACAAGTTCAAAATTTGTTTGGAGAAAAAAAAAGAAGAGAACTTTGTTGAATTTTGTTCGGACGTACTTTGGTTTGGATGAGGTCCCAGGCCGCTGTGGCGAACTCGTTGGTGGTGGTGTTGGTGTTGTTGTAGTTTGTCTTGAGGAAATCCCTGCTTTCATTGGTCAGATAATCAGTGATCTGACGCGTGTACAACGCGGCCAGAATGCCCGCTGCGATCTGGCCGGCAAACACGATGAACAGAAGCAAGAAATACTGCAAGAAGAAACAAACAATAATCGTTATAACAGGCCACGCTTGTGAGCAAACGAAGGTGACGTGCAAACCACTGCATTGTCTCTACAACAAGAAATAAAACCCGACTTAAAAAATTATGGAAATATGCTTCCAAAACAGGAGTCAATCACAGTGCCAGCTCAACCTCAATCCTGGCAAATCCTCCAACTGCCTCCGTGTAAAAATTGCATACCGCCTCAATCCTGCAAATTCCTCCGTTATTTCTTGAATGTGGTCCTTACACATTGTCTTATACCGGTATCTTTGGCCAGTGAGAAAGTTGTCCTGCTTTTTGGTTCACTTTCTTTGGACTCTGTCAACAAGCACCCCCTTCGGCCAAAGTTGAGAGAAAGTGACGGGAGGCAAGCGAGAGGGACTACTGAACGCATTGCAAACGGCGCCGGACGCTCACGCACAGGCACCACTAGTTTGTGTTCATGCAGAACAAAATAACTCAGGCACAGTTTGCGCCATACACGCGCGAACCAGCGCGTACATGGCCTGACTCCCCCACTCCTCGCGAGAAGTGACACAGCGCCATCTACTGTCCATGCAGGGGATCCTAAAGGCTCCGTGCGCCAACAAGAGAGGGTGCTCATTTACCACCATTGAAAGCCCCGTGGCAGGGACGCACCACATGCGCATGCTGGTTTGAACGCGTACGCCACAAAGTATATGCACAAATAATTGTATACTGAATGTGCGCAAAGCCAAAGCGTCTTCGCGCGAGTGTCGGGCGTCGTCGGCAATGCGTTCGAATGTCTCTCCCAGTGGTCTCCCCCAACTCTCCTTTCCTTACCGTTGAGGGGGTACTTGCTCACGGAGCGGATTTCTACCTACCAGAACCAGCAGACACTTGCTCTCGCACAGCGCCCCGAAGCAGCCGCAGACGGCGACGAGGAACACGAAGCCGCCGGCCGCGATGATGATGTAAACGGCGCTCCGCAACAGCTGGCTGTTCAGCAGGTTGGCCACATCGTCGATGGGGATAAAGTCAACGGCTCCAAACTTGATGAGAAGACCTGTGGCAATCAGGCCTAGACCACATAGCTATTGGAAGGGGAGAAAAATGGAACCAAGCGGAAAATGGATGTTAGCTTTTCCACACCTTTAACCACAACTCTTTATTAACCCCAACCATTCTATAAAATGCAACAGAAAGCAACAAAGGTGAAAAGTTGTTGCATACTGTTGCATTTAGCAGGCAACTTACATGTAAGTCCCTGTGCTCTGTTGCATTGGTTGCATTTACCAGGGTAATTGCTCATAGTGCCAAGGCGATATAGTACAACAGAATCCCTTGCTGCATTTGGTTGCATTTAGCAGGGTAACTGCTTGGTGCCAAGGCTGGCATGCACTGGGTTTACTGCACAATGCAACAGAATCCACTGTGGCATTTTGTTGCATTTAGCAGGGTAACTGTTCATAGTGCCAAGGCGATACAACATAATCCACTGTTGCATTTGGTTGCATTTAGCAGGGTAACTGTTCATAGTGCCAAGGTAATACAACAGAATCCACTTTTGCATTTGGTTGCATTTAGCAGGGTAACTGTTCATAGTGCCAAGGCGATACAACAGAATCCACTGTTGCAATTTGTTGCATTTAGCAGGGTGACTGCTTGGTGCCAAGGCTGGCATGCACTTGGTTCACTGCACAATGCAACAGAATCCACTGTTGCAATTTGTTGCATTTAGCATGGTTCTCATTTCAGCCAAGTTGTATTTTGTTGCATTTGGCAGGGTGCCTAGAGCAAACCTGTTGGGGTTAGGGTTTGTCAAAACCCCACCCCACCCAGCTCTGTCGAGCCCCCCCCCCCCCCCCCCCCCCCCCCCTATTGATTTTTGGAGGCCAAGTGTCCGGAGAAAAAACTTGTCTACATTTCAGAATTGTTTGCTGATGAACCCCCCCCCCCCCCCTTCCGCCAAAAATCCTAAATCCGCCCCTGGTTTCCAGCTTCAAAGCATCACGATGGTGCAGTGAACATGCAACACATACAAGTACAGGAATTATAGTGAACAGGAATCTAAACTGAAAGACGGCTACAGGCAATTATTACGCATCATCACGCATGGGTTGTGCAGGATTCAATGGCTTTCCATAATTGTTTTCAAGGAATATCAACTTTCTATGACTCCATGTAAAACAACAAAATTCCATAAGTTTTGCACGACTTTCCGTGAGTTTTAAATGCCAGGACTTTCCAGGATTTTGTTCATGACAATTGACAGTGGGAACCGCCCAAAACAGCCCTATACAAAAATGTACCTACCGTACATGTACACGTACCGGTATGTATTACTCCCTATACTGCCCAAAACTTCCCAAGCATGGATTTTGATTCTCAGGGGAATATTGTTGATGTACCTTAATGTGGTGTGGCCCCCAACGTGGCGCACTTTGATTTTTCGCCTGTAGCGCCTAGCTAGAGAAATAGTTTTAACTGAAATTTCACAGAAAGTGACATTTCATCAAGTTCTAAACACTCCTGTTCATAAATCGCGATTTTATTTACCCGTAACAAAGTTAGAAGAAAATTTATTTTGGCGTGATTTTCCGATTTTATTTTCAATTGCAAAGTGAACCCTTTGAAAATGCCCCGAAAAATAAGAAAATAATTTTCTGACAAACATCTGGCTGGGTATGTACCGGGTAAGTACAGATAATAATTATTTATCAAAATTTATCAAGTTTACAGAAATTCTTAAATCTTAATTTGGAATTTTCCGAGATTTATTCAAGTGCGCCACGTTAGGGAACACTCCGCCAATTTGTGCCCAATTTCCGGACGCCACCATTTTTGAATTTCGGATTAAATTTTATGAAACCGAAATTGTTCACAGACGACAGAGGTTAAATAGCAAGCATTAATAAGGTAAAAGTACTAGTATTTACTGCATGAATTTGAGGTTTGTCAACAAAGAGGTTTCTCAACACTACACGAGGAAAGTCGGGTAAGCTTCGAAGTGCGCCACGTTAGGGAACACGACTATACACTTGATGTTATACAATTTATATCAGGTGTTAAAGGGTTAAAGGTGTCTCGAATCTCAAAACGTTCAGAATTTGACATTTTTTCCTGAACCCATGTTCACAATGGGAAATGATGCTGTTTTCACTGCCATTTTCTGGCGCCAACAAGTTTTCGTTTTGTTGTCTACAACAAAATTCATTTGCAATCACACACTTACTGCCACAATGAAGTTGATCACAAAAAGGAGAAATTTGATGCATTTGGCTCCACACCCTTCCATTGTCATTTAGGCAAGCTGGCTTCTGGGCCGCGTCGGGAAAAAACACCGAAGAAATTCTGCAATGAAACCAAAAAAAAAGAACAATCCAGAAACATAAATTTTTACCACCATGATGATACAATGAAGTGTACTGATTTGAACCAGTTTCGAAACGAAATTACAAAAACAGTGCGATCATCGATCATAAAAAGTTGCAAGGGCAAACTTGGAATTTGTTTACTGAGAAAAAGGCAGAAATACAAATGCCAGAAGAGTATTGTTCCTTGAATTTTAAACAAGCTTTCCCTCCAAAATCCGAACTTGTTTTTCCAATTCTGATCACCAAGAGCCAACAGCAAACACATGTACCTGTTTTGCCCATAGAAAATTTCTTGCAATTCTGACAGAATTTACTGACTGTTTTCTGAAATTTGTAGAGCACCCTACATGTACAACTGTACACCGTAAAACAGTTGGGCAAAATGGGTTTGACAATTCGACCAATGCTGGTCGAATTATCAACTGCCTACACTTTTGGGCAAATTCTTCCCAATAGTTTTGACAGGTTTTACCCAATGCAACCCAATATGAGGTAATTTCATACCAATGCTGGGTAAATTACATTGCCCAACAGTGTTTTATCCAACCTTTTACAGTGTACCAGTACTGGTAGATCAAGAAATAAGAATGCTACTGGTATGTGAAGTCATCTTCCAATAAACATAATTCACTTTTCTACTGTGAGAGAGCTACATGTACAAGTTGTGTATACTCAACTTTTATGTCATTGTTCCTTAACAAAAAGACAGGCGATTCAGGACTGCACATGGAGATGTACTCGAAAATGTACATTTTACAGGAAAAAAATCAGTTCAATTGTACACTGTAGGGGAGACGGGGGTTAGTTGGAACGATTTTCACAAAAACCTATCCATAACACAAACAGGTTTTCTTCAAGAAACAACAACTACATGTATGCCAATTTATTCATACACATGTGTGTTGCAAATGTAGCATATAAACTTCTCAGAATTGTTGATGGTTATTTAAAAAATCCATCTTGATCACAACTATGACATGCGTTCCAACTAACCCCTCCTATGGGGTTAGTTGGAACATGGTATGGGGTAAGTTGGAACTTGGTATGCTGTTAATCTGAAAGTATACTACAATTACTTAAAAACTGCATTTATATTTGAGTTTCAAATAAAATAATTGTTCCAAGCACTGGTGATGCTCCTCACATTTTTTTTAATTAACAAACTGGCAAGAAATGGCACAAACAGCACCAAGACAAAAAAACACAGGAAAATTGCGAGGCAAGAGTCAGCTACAAGCCTGATCATAAAAAGAAAACATCAAAATGGGAAATTTAACTCCCAAAAATAACATGAAAAGCTTGCATAAAATTGAGGTAAGGTCAACGTGACCTGTCTATGTGCTTTCAAAATTGTTTGCTAAGTCAGAATATTTCCTCAATTATCATCATTATGTTCCAACTAGCCCCCATCAAAATGTTCCAACTAGCCCCAGTGGCCCATGTGACATTTGTTTGCTCACTCTACAAAACAGGGGCTCCAATAACATATCTTTTAACCTTATTTTGTAGCTTAGTACTCGAGCATATAATACCCCCAAACTAGTCACTGTTATCTATAAACATCATTAAGAAAGTACACATTTTTTGAATGGTGAAAAAATTACTCAAAAGGTGAAAAAACAAACTTATCTTTCCCACTTGAGCACTATTGTTGCAGTGTAACTGCAGGCAATATGGTGGATGGCTGTTGCTAAGGGACATCTCTTGAGGGCAACATTTTATAAAATTTAATTAAGATGATCAAGAAAAATTCATTGTTTCAACTAACCCCGTGTTCCAACTAACCCCCATCTCCCCTACCAATCATTCTTACATATAAATACATTGTATACATATGTACATACCAGTACTTTATGTAGTACATTTACTGAAAGAGCAATGCACATGATACATGTACAGTATGTGTACATGTAACGCACAAAATCATAACCAAAAGAAATTCCAACTTACACTTTTTCTAACTTCAAAAATCCAGAAGGGTGAACTGATCGATCAGCATCGACACACAGTAAATCCTTACCAAAATGTTGCTAACACTATTCTTTTCCTGCAATTCAGTCAGCAGATGGACGACCAAAATAGCACAGATGCTCCACAAATTTTACGAGAAAGCAAAGTGACAGTCAGGCGAACTGAAACTGAATGGGGCTTCAACTTTCACCACACCCTCTGTACACTATTCGGTGGTCACATGCGAGTGAGCATGGGACGACCCGCAGTACGTTGTGTACAGGTAACACCTACATACTTAAACATGCGCGCTTACGTTGTGCCTACACTGAATCTGGCCAGACAAATTAAATCCATGTTTGTCACAAATTTAAACTAGTGACTTTTTTTTCACTAGCATTTTGTCATTCCGACGATGTACCCAAATTGACCTGTATTTAAGTAACAGCCATTTTTTTTTCGGAAACACTATCCGAACTTAAACTAAAATGCCGCACTTAAGGATTTTTTGTTTGATTGTGTTTGGGCATCTAAAACATGTCCATGTTTTATTGTATAATTTAATGGGTATTCATCAGAATGGTAAATGATCAGTGGTGTACAGCTGAATTTTGTGATCTTCATATTAAAATAGACGTGCCGGTAACTTGGGAATAGAGTATGCAAAGTACCGGTACGTGAAATTTTCAGTTACTTGTCAATGACAAGTACATGTACGGTACTTTACACTTGTGTTTTTTGTTTTTGTTTTTTTATTTTTCCTAAATTTGATCACTTTCTTTTTGACTCACCCCTTACATGTTCGGTAGGCTCTAATTACACATGGGCATGCGTACATATATTCACAAAAACACTCAATAGTGGTTTTCATACCGGTATGTAGACTTCAATACAAGCGTCTATAATGAAAAAAGGGCATCTACATGTATCTTCTTGGTTCAAATTAAAGTCATTCACTACTCTGAAATGTGTCCAAATGAAGAATGGAAATTTTACATGAATTGTGGACCGTACCCAAGATTTTGGACCAACATGGCCCGCCTACAATGGCATTCCAGCGCCATTGTTAGGTCATGAACAGTACTGCCTGTGCAAATCACTGCTGACCGAACAATCTGTATACACACACATTGCCTCCCAAAAAAGAGCTAGACCTTTCTTTTTGTTTAGGGTGAGGGTTGTAACAATGGGGTCCTTTTCAAAGTGGGTTGAGTTTGAGTATTAGTCATCATGCTCAGTCAGGGTGCATTGCTCAATGCACTGGGCTGGGCCCTTCCAAACTTCATTGACTGACGCAAAGTTTGGTGACACTTTGGAAAATTCCAAAAGCATGAAAAGTTTCTCTTTCTATAAATGACACCCATAAGCACAATACAAGGGGTGTTACTTCTCTCCCCAGAAAGATGAAATCATCCTGGAAACAAAATTTGGCGTGAATTCAAATTTTGATGGGAACTTAGGGTCTAAATTTTAATATTTTGGATTTTATCATTCATTGCTGCACTGCTGCAAGCACTATACATGTACATGTAGTATACTGGTACATTACAATATAGCACTAATACTACTACACTGTATTACATTGTATCTATTCCCAATCATCACTGGATGAATTTAACCACACAGTGTTGTTCAGTTTGGGGCAGTATAGAATTGTTACTATTATATTACTATTACGTGTATATTTAAAACTACTAGTAGGCTACAGCCTGTCTAAAAACAAATGGTACAATCGAAAACGATTTTTTTTTTTCAATATTAAATCTCAACATAAGTAAGTCGTTTTGGGCATCACATTAAAGAAAAAAGACCAGGCTTTCCAATACTTTTTGTTTCATTTGCTTTTGTCAATCCAGAGATAACTCCACTTTACTGCGGAACACAAAAATCGAGTTTGTGCCACTTTCTGGTGTGAGCTTCAAGACAGCATGGCACAGTACTCGAAACAACTCTGCCCATGCATAAAAGTGGCACAAAATCGATTTTGGTGTATCGCACTAAATTGATTATATCTCTGAATTGACAAAAGCAACAGGCAGGCAGGAGTAACAGGCAGGGCACTCTGGAGGCAGTACAGGAACTGCATTTGCACATTTTCTTAGAAATCCGCAAATTTATAAGACACTGTTTTTCCCAGGCCGAGTTTTAGATAAAATCCTCAGGGAAATACATGTAATACTAGGCTTTTGATAAGCTGGCTGTTGAGATGTGTTACGCACCAGGTGTGACAGTGCAGAGGCTAAGATGCGGAACGGGGGAATTCTGGCTTTCTGGATGATTAAGATCTGGGATGGAACGAGTGATGGATGGCTCAATTCAGGAAATGTTTGAAAACAACATCGCGGACGTTGCGATCTTTGGCTTAATGTGTCTTGCCTACCTGTACCTCTGATGTCATACCAAATCATTTCTCATTTTAGTTTAAAAAGATAAAGTTACCGGTTCTGAAACGCGTTATACATGTACTTCCAAATTGACTGACTTGGGCCTGTAATAAACAGCAAATTTTTAAATTACGTGGTAGGAGCACTGAGGCTCAGATTATATTTTTATTACTTTTAGATTAAAGAGGTTGTGGAATGCTCGAAGACATTTCTGTCATTTTTCGGGTATATGTAGCCTAAGGTGTGATGAAATGAAAACGACTATTGTGTCTGTCATGAAATGAGTACAAAAGGTACTTTTGAGAGCTGTTTTTCAGGTCTTGTTTCGACCCGAACGTGCAATTTGTGTAAAAGTCGTCGTTGCAGGCAGCAAACAAAACATAGTAAATCATGACGTAATAAACAGGACTCGTTTATACTACGCTGCATCGGGAGTCCTGTTTATTACGTCACGATTCACTATGTTTTGTTTGCTGCCCCCAATGACGACTTTTACACAAATTGCACGTTCGGGTCGAAACAGGACCTGAAAAACAGCTATCAAAAGTACCTTTTGTACTCATTTCATGACAGACACAATAGTCGTTTTTATTTCATCACACCTTGGGCTACATATAGCCGAAAAATGACGGAAATGTCTTCGAGCATTCCACAACCTCTTTACTTCATTATGAAAATATTAACAGACTAACAGACACACATGTAAAATTCTTTCCTTTGGGGATATTAAAGTTAATGCCTTAAAATATTTATAAGACATTTCGTGACTGTCATGCACTAATGGTTTCAAACAGCCCGTGCAAGTTTGTAATATTACTATGCAAATTGCCTGATAATATTCATCACATTTACATACAAGTACGGTACATACGTGTACATGTACAACTAAACCACACCCCTTTTACATGTACAATACGCATAGTACATACGTAATGGCCTAATGTCCATGTACACGTACATAAAGGCACTTTCTTCAAATTACGATAAATTTAGATTAAACAGGTCATGCAAAACAAGCGAAAATAGACAAACAATTTCTCAGTGACTACATGTACCGGTACATGTAATTTGCAGCTTATTTCATACAGCAAAAGCACACATTGTACACATGTACAGTGTGTACATGTACATGTAGATGTACGGTACATGTACAAAAATGTACACGTAGGTACCGGTATATTTGGAGAAATTCTGGATAGCAAAAAAAACCTAGCCTCATATGCAATGCGAATTACATACAGAGCTGATACAAGGGAATTATTCACTGTACATGTATAATTTACAGCCTACAGGTTTTTCGCACTTCTTTGCAAATTTCAAATTATGAAAAACTCAGACTAGAGAGCATTCAGGTATGGCACACATGTATGATGTAGACCTACATGTTAATGTACAATGTACGTGCCTCTTACTGCATAAATGTACAACTGAATTGACATTGTGCCTAAGGCACTAGGGGAGCACAGCCAAGTTAAAGGGAATAAACAACATTTGCAAACATCGAAAAATAAAACTATCAAGTTTTCATGAAATACCTTACTAGGATGTTGGTAAATGACAGTCTAAAGCATCCTGTAAAATTCTGGCACCTGGTGTGAAGTCATTTTCAAGAAAATGGTATTTTATGTATACATTTCCAACAGTGGTCGGCCGACCACCGTTGGAAAAACCTAACTATTTTTCAACTACTGCTCCAAATGTACCATTTTTTTCCAGCCCAAATTCTGTTTGCTATTGGTTACATGTTCATGAACGGATGCAGGCCAGCTACACTGGTTCCCTTACCTTACAATTTTCCGGCATCTATATATTAATCCATTTTATCCTTAGTGGAGTCAGGGAACCAGACTACTTGAACATTTTTGTTTTTCTTGTTTTTTTCAGCATTTTCGAACATACAACTTGAAACATGTCAGTGTAACAATATTTGATCTATTATACTAACCCCTCAAATAGTTCATTTCTGAAAATTACAGCAAAAGCCAATGATGTACATTCCCTTTAATATAAAAGCCTTTATGCGTGACTAACTTATTTTCACATGCATTGATGAATCTCACTTTACTACCTTCATCAGTACTTTTTTATTTTGAAATGATTAATTAATGCATTAGTCTGTGGCATTTACGATTAGTTAGAGATTAAGAGTGCAAGGCTGATGAAATTGTGCTGACTTTATGTGCTGGTATCAGATCGTGTGGAATTAATCACTAAAAAGAAAAAAAGTGCTTAAAATACACAATGTATAGCTCAGCTTATAAGTTAATGACATAAAACAGTGGTACTGGTACATGGATGAATCTTTAAAAATATTAACTTTAAAGGTAATATTAAACAGTTGCAAACATCAAAAACAGAGTTAACATGTACCGGTATTATGAAATACCTTACCGGTGCTTGACTGTAAAAATAGTCTCAAGCATCCTGTGAATTCATGGCGCCTGGTGTGCTATCATTTTCGAGAAAAGTAGAATTGTTTATCAATTTCCAACGATGGTCGGCCGACCATCATTGAAAAAACCCTACTTTTTCAAACACTGCCCCCAATTTGCACAATGTACCAATTTAGCTAGTCCAAATTTTATTTGCAATCAGTTACATATATCCGTTAAGGAGTGCAAGCCAGCTAGTCTGCTTCCCTGACCTGAAAATTCCCCGACGTTTATAAATCGCTCTGTTGCATCTGAAGTAGGGTCAGGGAACCAGACTACAAGTACAGAATTTTTTTCTTGCTTTCTCCAGTGTCTATTAACACAAAAGTGCCCAGGAAATTTTGCTAGGATGTAACCTCAATCCTGCTAAATCCTCCTTTGTTTCTTGAATGTGGTCCTTGGAGGGGTGACCACTGCCTCAATCCTGCAAAAT